AGTCAGCTAGCTTGAGAAATGAAGAGATCCTGGCCCTTAAGTGGCGAGACAAACGGGATGTGTATGTCCTTTCATCTATCCATAACAGCAGCTCATTGTAAATTCAAGGAAGTTGCGGTTCCATCCAAAAAACCCCAATGCATACACGAATACAACCTGTTCATGGGGGGAGTGGCTTTAAATGATCAAATGTTACAGCCCTACATACCCAACAGAAAATCAATCCACTGGTATAAAAAAGTATCCTTCTACCTTTTCCATTTGGCCCTGTACAATTCCTACATCGTTTACCAGAAATCCACACAAAGACCTATCACCTTCTTACAATATTAGGAAGAGATTATCACATCCCTCATCTATCAAAAAAGCCCTGTACCTGAACAAATTCGCTCTGATGCAGTGAGCCGATTGCATGAAAGACATTTCCCCGATATCGTCCCCCCTACCGAAACAGTTTCCTTTGGGTTTTGTAATTCCCGGATCAGGGTCTGGAGACCAGATGCTTCGAAAACATTTGGGTGGGATGAAGCCTCTACCCCTTTGTCCAGTCTTACCTAACCAAGGTCCTAAGCTTAATGTTTCTGCCTGGACCAATCCTTTGACCACATCTCTGCTTGCTGTCCGCATTGACTGTGGCCTTTTTATGGACCATGTTCCTGTCTTCTTCCTGGACCACAGCTTTGCCTGTTTGCTCACTACGTCTATGCATGACACCAGTACTGACCCATTTGTACATCCCACTGGCTACCTTCCTGCGAGACACTGGTGCCACCAATCCTCTGTGGCCAGCTGCACTGAAACCAGATGTACTCTTTGGTTTATCTTTTTTTTCCAACTTCTTGGTGAGTGAACATGGAGCTATGTGGGCAGCCACGTACCAGTAGGTTAAGCTTTTAGGAACAGGCTGTACGTGAAGCTACACTATGCTTTATTGATATATAATGTTTTAATGTTTGCTGATTTTTGTGATACACAGGTGCAATGTCCGGTAATCAGTCCAAACACTGAAAAGGTCTTACACATGTGGTATCCCCATACTCAGGAAAAGTAGCAGAATGTGTTTTGATGTGTTATTCTAAGAATGCCTATGCAGTGTGTTAGAAATATTATTATTGGCAACATTGCGTTTAGAAAAAAAATCTACATTTTCTAAAAATTTGTGTAAAAATTGAAGTCTTCATAAGACTCTGCTGCTCCAGGACCTTCCAAATTGTGATAGGTAGTCAAGAAATTTGATGTGTAATTTTTGCTCTTAGAACACTAACAGGTGATTATTGGATGTGGGGCCCCTCTATGTGGCCAGACTGTGAAAAAGTCTCACACGTTTGGTATCGCCATATTCAGCGGGAGTTAAAGAATGTGTTGAGGTGTAATTTTAAATATGCCTATGCTTTGTAATATCTCATAGGATTGACAACTTTGCGTAAAAAAAAAATTACATTTTCATTTTCTTTTCACATTTTCCAAAAACTTGTGGCAAAAATTTGAAGTCTTCAGGAGACTCCCCATGCCTCTTAAAACATACATTGGAGTGTTTGCTTTCCAAAATGGGTTAATTTTGTGGATAATTCAATTGTCCTGGTGCTCCAGGACCTCCAAAACTGTGATAGAAAGTCAAGAAATTAGATGTGTAATTTTTGCCCCTAGAACGCCAAAGGTTGCTTATTGGATGTGGGGCCCTTCTATGTGGCTAGGATGTGAAAAAGTTTCACACATGTGGTATCGCCATATTCAGGAAGAGTAGCAGAATGTGTTTTGGGGTGTAATTGCAAGTATGCCTATGCCACGTGAGAGAAAGAACTTGTTAAAATGACAACTTTGTGGGAAAAAAAAATATTTACTTTCATTTCCCAGAAAAACTGGCAAGAAATGACAACATCAAAAAACTCCCCATGCCTCTCATTAAATACCTCAGACTGTCTACTTTCTAAAAATGGGTCATTTGGGGGGTATTTGTACTGTCCTGGCATTTTAGGGTCCCAAGAAATTATATAGGTAGTTAGTACATCAGGAATGATAAATTTTCATATATATATATATATATATATATATATATATATATATATATATATATATATATATATACACACACACACACATATATATATATATATATATATATATATATATATATATATATATATATATATATATATATATATATATATATATATATATATATATATATATATACATATACACATACATATACCGTGGTCTGTGGACTCTATAACTTTCACACAGACTAAATAATACGCACTGTTTTTGATTATTTCTATCAAAAAAGGTAGCACAATGGATTTTGGCCTAAATTTATGAAGAATGTATATTTCTTTGCAAAATGTAGTAACAAAAACTAAGAAAAACTTTTTTTTTTAAATTTTCAGTCTTTTTTTATTTTTCTAGCAAAAAATAAAAACCCCAGTGGTGATTAAATACCACCAAAGGAAAGCTCTATTTGTGTGAAAAAAAGATAAAAATTTCATTTGGATACAGTGTCATATGCCTGAGTAATTGTCATTCACAATGTGATAGCGCTGAAAGCTGAAAATTGGCCTGGACAGGAAGGGGGTGAAAGTGTCCGGACATGACGTGGTTAAAGCAAAACAAGTTCATTTTACTGTTCCCAAAGCTTTTGGAGAGCAATGAAGAGTAGCACTGTCACATGGGAAGAGAATCCTGTATAAGTTTATACCAGAACAACATGGAGGGCTTCTTCTCATCAATTTGTGAGAGAAATAACAGTTTACCTAACAGAAACTGTTGCTTTGCTGTTTTTGGTAGACACTCATAACATACTTTAGAGGGGTGAGTGTTAGTGGTGCACCGAAATGAAAATTCTGGAGCCGAAACCAAAAATTTAAAATGCACTTGGCCGAAATCCGAAATACGCAGTTTTTAAAAATGAATATATATTTTTTGGAAAAAAATACACTTTGATTAAAAAAAAACAAAACAAAAACTTCACGTGTATGGTTTGAACACCATTTACATATGTGGGCATGGCCTACGTATGCGTTCACCACGGGGGGCACTTTAAACTTTTTTTTATTTTTAATTTATTTAATGCTTTGTTTTGTTTTTGCACTGTCCTTTTTAAAATTTTGTAATCACTTTTACTCTTATCACAAGAAATGCATGCATCCCTTGTGATAGAAATAATTAGTGATAGGTCCTCTTTTATGGAGAGATATGGGGTCAATAAGATCCCACATCTCTCCTCTGCAATGTAAAGCATTGGATCAAACAAACAAACAAACAAAAAAAAAAAGCATTGATCTAGTGCTTTAAAGAAAAATGCCCAGTGCCGAGATCGTTCGATGGTTTCTCAGGTAAGGCTGAGAACTACTGAGCAACAGCCGGTGGCGAGGGGCGGGGTTTTTTTGGCACCTGTATCCATGCTTTTTTTCATTTCGGTCAATGGCCAAAAGGGGTGTTTTTGGTCGAAACGTTTCGGTCACCGAAATTTCGGTTCATCCGTAGTAAGTGTATGTCAAGTAATGAAGAAGGGCAGGGTTCTAGTGACTAATTATTAGAACCACCTATTTTAAAAGATGTGTGTGTTGCTATCATGGTGAAAAACTTTCACATACAGTGGTGGTAATTTTTTTTTGTCCACAAAGCCAAAACAGTAGACTCACAATATATATATATAAAGACTTTTCTTTATACAAAATCCAAAGAACATATAAATGTCCAATAAACATACAAAAATGTGCAAAAATTGTCCCCAATGTCTTAAACACCATACGCAAAAAATCTTTTCTTCTTTCAAAAGTAGATATCTTTCTTAGTTCATGAAGTTTCCAATGACCATAAACCTCAAAAAAACAAACTCTAAATAGTGTCATACCCTTTATAAAATAAATTAATATGTGCATCATGCGCATCATGCAAAACACATTATTAGTGAGAGGGAAAAAAAAAAAAAATTATGTGTTTTGCATGATGCACATATTAATTTATTTTATAAAGGGTATGACACTATTTAGAGTTTTTTTGAGGTTTATGGTCATTGGAAACTTCATGAACTAAGAAAGATATCTACTTTGAAAGAAGAAAAGATTTTTTGCGTATGGTGTTTAAGACATTGGGGACAATTTTTGAACATTTTTGTATGTTTATGGACATTTATATGTTCTTTGGATTTTGTATAAAGAAAAGTCTTTATATATATTGTGATTAACTTTCAAGGGTGGAAGTGAATAACTTTTCTATAAGAGTTGGATTTATTGAGTTAGTTTGGTGCCGATTCATTAAAACAGTAGACTCACCATCTTAAATGACTAAGAGTATATTCAACATAAATGCTATGTTTTAAAACAAGAATACACGACATGCCAAAGTTAAAAAAAATAACTAAATAAATAAATAAATAATGCTCATCCCTTTGATAGTATACTTTTACTAGTAATGGCAAGTGGGGCTCTAGTATTAAATTAGCGTAAGAGTACTGTAGTTTAACGTATAGCTAGCGTGGAGAAAACTGTAAGAAAATCATAGCATGGCAAGTGTTTCAGTAAAAAGTAGTTAATGCCAATTGCAGAATTCTATTTTTTTTTTAACACTATCAGATTTGCAAGTTTTTTGGGGAAGGGTCTGTATATACGGGGGGTGTCGTCACATGAACACTATATACAAGCATATTAGTATAACTGCCATGGCTATCTATAGTGTACCTTACTTATTCTCAAGATAATTCCAGAGACTAAAGTTTTCCTACTAGGCCAACTGACAGAATATTTTAATTCAACGTATACAAGCACATGTATATTCTACAGACCTAAATGAGTTGGAATTCACAACACTGCCCGGCTCTGATCTAACACAGGAGAACATTGCATACCCAGTCTGACAAACTTTTCATATGGTGGTTTATCAAGAATGACCAATATCCTTTTCTCTTTACCCCAGTGACACCCTGATTTTTATGAAAATAAAATGCATTTTATGATAGTCATTTTTTCAAAACTACATGGTCAGATAAAACCTTCATCTACCTGTAGAACTCCTCTCGTTCACGTTCATCCAGCTCAGTAATAATGTATGACAGAGTTCGCTCAATTTTAGGAATAATGACTGGAGACAAAGAAAACAAAGGGGGATTATTCAACCCATATCTATACAAGTTACAGTATTATGTCAACAGCATTCAAATTAAAGTTAAAGGTAAAAGTAAAACAAACAAACAATGCTCATCCTGCAAATAGTGTGTTGATCTGAAATAACCAAAGGACCAACTTGAATCCATACAAAAACTAGGACCTTTTTTTTAGCAACCGAGGATAATGTGCTTTTATTAGGGTTAGTAGCTGCACAATTACATAGACCCTACAGTACTGCCTTCTTGGTAACTCTGGTATTATAGAATGTTTCTGAAAGAATGCTTTTAAGAGCTCAATCAGATGGCAGATTAGTGCGATCCTCAGTACACAGCTGCTGGCAGATGAGTGTACATCTACCTCGATATGTGTGCAGGTAGACCATAGAAGTTGATGCACATGCAGCACCGGCACACATACAATCGCATGTTAAAGTCTGACATGCACACAGGTAGCAGGTGCACAATTTCCTTTAAATATATCAGCAATTAGGAAGTGCAAAGTGTCTTCATGATAGAATACAGACTGATTGGATAGCTTAGACAGGTCCTTATATTACAGTTTTGGACAGTCAGATTTGTAAAGCCGAATGCCTATGTGACCCATTGAAAGGAAATATTTTAGTACAGATCAGAATAGAGCATTAGATCAGATTAGGTGTGCAGTATGGAGTTGGTTAACTTACCATGTTCTATGGCATTTACACGCCTATTGGTAATTTTAATGGCTTCATCTAGAGTCACAAATGAGGTCTGCATTAGAACGAAAAATAAAAGGTCAGTTGCAGTCTTTCCGAAACACATGTAATACATTCTATATATGTGCATACCATGCAAATTTGTCATTGCAGCTTTCTCAGACTTCTCCTAATTGTTATTTTTTTTATTTGTGGTGCTATTGGCTCCAAATGATCAATGCTTGCTGATGAAGGGCTGGATCACACAGGAATGCAAGTCCGTGTTCCTGTGCAATTCCTGTGCTTTCCACTGCAGTGCGATTTGGCAGTCCCTTCATTTAAATGGGTTGCAAATTGCACCAGAACTCATGGAAGGTAGTGCATGCACTACTTTTGAAAAAAGTGCAGCACCAAATTGCATGTGGTACCATAGCATCTGATGCCCACAAATACAGTGCGTTTTGGTGCTGTTACTTATGTACTGGCACCTGCAGCAGTTTCCAAAGGCAGTGCTTTTTGAACACAGTGCGGGAAACACACACAGAAAACGCCTTTCCTATACCGCTTCCTGGTGTGAACAGTCCTCAAAGAAAATTGACTACATGTAAATATTTAACATACATGCCACAAAATAAATTAAAAACTTCCCTTTGCCAACAAAAAAATTACATTACACCTCCAACCCCATTAAAAAAAAAAAAAAAAAAAAAAAAAAAAGGACAGTTCTGTCTTTGGGGGAGGGGGGAATTAGAGAAAACCTATGTCCCTGCTCTATGTCCTACACAACCCAGAATAAATATCTAAATGAAGAATAGGCAAACAATGGAAACCTTATTAGTTCACTATATGTATGAAAAAAGCTATTTCACATTGTTAGAGTTCCTTGCATATACCAATTGAAGTGACTAGCCTCAGGTGATACAGGTTGCATCTATTTATCTGTAGCCCTCTCCCCTCTACGGCCAATCGGAAGACAGGGGGCAAGATCTGATGGCTCACGCAGCACAGGGACCTTAGATTAAATAGTTTCCTCCCAATGCTAGAGTCACCGTTCAAACATTTGTATATTGTGATCATATCCAGAGAGAAGAAGAGTAACGTTTGTAATCATTCCTTATAACGGAGGCCCTCCAGGCCCTATATTAGCTTTGGTAAGTTTCACCTTTCTACCTCAAGCAAATCCTTCCTGAGGGTTGGTAACCAAAACTGGACAGCATACTCAACATGTGGCTGAACCAGAGTTTTGTAAAGTGGTAGAATTATAGTCTTATCTCTTGAGCTCCCTGCACAGTAATGGGTACCAGAAAGCTCCCAATGCATACTTGCAATCAGGAGCTTTGTGATCACATGACCGTTGTGACTGCCAATCACAGCGGTTACATAGTTACAAAATTAGTCTGGCTGAAAAAAGACAAAAGTCCATCCAGGTCAACCATAAAAAAAAAAAATTATAATCCTACACCCAGCGTTGATCCAGAGGAAGGCAGAAAAAACCAGCAAAGCATGATCCAATTTGCTCCTGCAGGGGAAAACATTCCTTCCTGATCCCCTGAGAGGCAATCAGATATTCCCTGGATCAACCTTACCTATAAATGTTAGTAACCAGTTATATTCTGTATATTGTGTATTCAAGAAAGAATCCAGGCCTTTTTTTAAATCAATCCACTGAGCTGGCCAGAACCAACTCCTGAGGGAGTCTATTCCACGTTTTCACAGCTCTTACTGTAAAGAAACCTTTCCGTGTTTGGAGATTTCTTACACTTCATTACATTTCTTTTCCTCCAGACATAAAGAGTGCTCCCTTGCCCTTGATCAGAATATGCCTGCCTCTGCCTCCCGGCATTTAGAATCTGTAAAAGAGCAAGGAGGCTGCTGCAGGAAGGGGTTAAACAAGTAATTTGTGACATGAACCTCCCATAATCAGCCTGGAATGAGAGGAATTTCTTCCAAAATCCTTGAAGTTCATAATTATAGTCTCTTTCCCTCAGTATTGATAGAAAGTTAGATTATAGCCTTTAAATTTACCCAACTGCTTCCACACAAGGAAAAGACTGAACAATGTATGTAGCCATAAATCCAGCCTATCAACCCAACTACAACTGTATATGAAGAAAGTAGGCAGAGACATACATGTACAGGTAATTTTATTTTATGCAGTTCATATTATATATATATATATATATATATATATATATATATAAATAAAATGCCCCTATGTATTTTTTTGTCATCTTTGTAGGAAGTTCTTGGCACTTGGGAAAAACTGACAAATGGTAAGCAACAAAGGATGGTAATAAAAACCTGTTTGATCCCAGCCCATTGGATGCCCTTATTGTTTCATAGCAGACGTATATGCATTCAAGTCTTATACCTGCAAGGAAGCCAGTTCTACAAGCAGCTCTACAGCCTTTGCGTAGTTTCTCTTTAGTTTAGCCAGCTGCTCACCACCTCTTGCAAGACCTGTCAACTCATAACCTGGCAAAGAAAGAAATTAATTATGCAAAAGATCAGTGGATGAGTGACATGTTAGAAGAGACAAAAAGGTATTTACCACATGTGTACATGCATTAAAATGAATACTCACTGTCCCCTCCTTCTTGATAATGTTCAAACACAGGTAGTGTCACACCTACAAGAATAAACAGCATTTTAAACTCTAACATTTATCATTCATAATGTGCATGACCAGTTCCAATATGTGGAAATATGTCACCTTTAATAGAATGGTTTAAGATTCCTTAAAGTGGTTGTAAAGGCTGAAGAAGGTATACTTTAATGCATTCTCTGCATCAAGATTAAAAAAAAAAAAAAAAAAAAAAAAAAAAAAAAAAAAAGAAGAAGAAGGGGACACAAAAAAACAGAAAACAAAATATTCCTTCTGTGTGCAGCTCTCTCCCTCCTCATAGCTTCAGAGAAAGCAGCAGGAGCTATTAGCTTCTTGATATTTCAGCAATGGCTTTCATCCCATCATGATAATATAAAACCCAATTTTATTGAATGTCCAGGTGATCTGACTTTCAGTGCAATTATGTAGTGCAACCTGGACACTACTTTGAAGTGGTTTTTCATATTCTATGGGGCCAAAAATGTGCTGGAATTGCACCAAAGTACAACAGACTTTTCCAAAATCACAGTGATGAGGTGCATTGATGCAAACATGAACCACTGAAACAAAATTTGATTTCTACTGCCATGCGATCCTGTGCAACTCATGCTGCATCTGTAAACAAAGCCTTATAGTAGAACTATGGTCTCCTACAGCACTTACAGCTTTTTCTTAGTTCCCCTGCAAAGTCCCACAGATAATGCCAATGAAGTCCCCCTAATGTCCACCTAAAGCCTTTCTAGATTTTTTTTATTCAGAAGTAATCTGGAAAACTATATAGATGTTGTGTGATTCACTGTAATATTATGAACTATTCTGTATATATCGGCAGCATAAAATCCCTAAGAAATCCAGATGAAAACATTACAAATTATGAAATATTCAAAGTAAAGAAATATACATATACAAAGCCCTGTAGATTGACTGTTTTGGGTTGATTCTAATTGAATCTCAATAGTATGAAGTGGGCTGATGGGAGCATAATTGCATAATGGAGAGATAAACACCACAAAGTGCAGGAGGATTGCATTCCCAGCCACCTGAATTACTGGAAGGTGTAGTTACGTGTGCATGGGGGGTGGAATTGGGCCTTTTAACCCATATGGAAGAAAAATATATTTGAAAATATATTTTAAAAATATTCTTCCCAAATATATTTCCATATATTTGAAATGCTACAATTTTGGCCATATTCAATATATTTCAATAAATATATGTACACTGCATGTTGAAATGCATTTTTATTACAAAGTATATGAAAAACATTTTTAAAAATACATTTCAAATATATTGTGTCTTTAAAAATACAAATCTACATTTTTGGAATGCATTTACAAATATATGTAAAAATATATTTTAAAATTACTCATATATATATATATCAATAATTGGTATTGGCGAGTACTTTAAAAATAAATAAATCGGTACTCGTACTCATTGCTAAAAAAATTGGTATCGGTGCATCCCTAGTAATAGAGTATTTAACCACTTTTCCTCCAGAGGATTTACCCCCCTTCCTGACCAGGCCATTTTTTGCGATATGGCATGGCGTCACTTTAACTGACAATTGCGTTGTCATGCAACGCTGCACCCAAATTAAATTTCTGTAATTTTTTCCCCACAAATAGAGCTTTCTTTTAGTGGTATTTGATCAACTCTGCATTTTTTCTTTTTTCACTATAAACAAAAAAGACCGACAATTTTGAAAACAAAAAAAAAAAACTTTTTACTTTTTGCTATAAAACATATCCATTAAAAAAAAATAAAAAATAATTTCTTATAAATTTAGGCCAAAATGTATTCTGCTACATGTCTTTGCTAAAAAAGAAAATCTCAATAAGTGTATGCTATGCAGAGAGATACAAAGCAGCATGTCCATGCTGACAGGAGAGACCTGAGTTGTTTACACACAGGTCTCTCCCGTCAGCTTTGCTGATGATCACCAAGTCCCCCCGGCCGTGACCCAGTGATTGACATCCGCAGCAGCCAATAGCGGCACAGGTAGGCTGGCTGGCGCATGCGCCCCCCATTCGGAATTGCAAATCACACATATATACACACACGATTTTGCGCAGCTGTGCCACCCTTTAGCAGTAAAGCGGCTAAGGCACACTGTGTCATTGGTATTATTTTAACAAAGCTTTTACATCGATAAAGAAAACAGCTTACCTGCAACATTGTCCTTCTTAGCTCTAACCTTCACTTGTGCTTTGTTCACATTCTGAATAATAGTTGTACTGTTTGGGAGAAATAATTTGTTAAACTGGCATAAAACAGTAAACAGAATAGTGAGAAACGATGGGAAATGTGACACGAGTCAAAAATTTTAATTCACACTTCACATAAGGGTCTTGTACACAGTTGCCTAAAAATGCCAAATTTTTAAGTATTCAGGCTTTTTTTTTTTTTTACTTCTCAAAAAAAAAAAAAACCAGCCCATTATTCTTAATGGCAATGTACACACAGACACGTAAACTTGTGCTGTGTATAGATAAATATAAAAATAATATATACAATATATAAAACTCTCCTGTAAGAATTTCTGAGAGGAATTATATTTTCATATTTTCTGCAGCTCCAATCATAGTTGTTTTAAAGTCAAAAGGCCCCAGCAACCTAGAGAGTCACTTTCAGGTCTCAGTTCACACAAGAAATCTTTTTTCTAAGATAGTCTGTTCTTGCAAATTAAGTGTGTACAGAATTGAGGGAAGAAAGGACACCTCTCAGTGCAGGAATAATGTGTTTCTAGCATATTTACTGCACCTGGAACAACTGAACAATATTTACTAGCATTTCCAGGCCCCATAAATGTAAAGTGTGAAAACACCTTGTATGTGTGACCAGGTAGACTTGTGGACACAACAAATTAACAGCCTGGTTATTCAATGACTCACCATTGTTTCAGTGTTGGGAATGGTAAACAAGAGACAATCACCTCTCATTAAAAGGGATCTCTATGGGAAATTATACATATGAACTGTGGAACTATTTCTATGTTCAAACTATCCATATACCTTAAGCCAATTCCATTCTATTACAAGTTATAGGGTCAAGACTTGCATTACAGTGTGCATATACTAATGGGGTGTAAATTATTTTTCTGGACAAAACCATTATAAAGATCATGGACATATTTTAAATTGTAACACAATAGTAAAAGATTTTATCCCAATACAATAACCCACTGGTAAAAAGGATTTCTGAATATTAACCCCAGGTTATTTATGTGTAATCCCATTATATATTTAGTGTGTTGGAATTTATCTTTATTACAGAAAAATTTTATGTGTGCTGCCAGATCTATAATCAAAGAGTAGTTAAGTATGCAAATCAGATATATTTTGTCTCTGTCCTCTATGTGCATAAATTTTGCATTCCAGATACGTTTTTGCTTACAGTTCACACTACACACAGTTCCGGTGTAGTTTTTGATGCAGTTTGCTATGTTTCAGTATAGTTCTATAGTTATAGTATAGTGCACAAAAAATTAAGAATGTTCTACTTTTTATTCTGCACTGGAAACTGACTGCATTAGTGTGAACTAGGGCCATTGGAATACATGGAAAACACTGTGCATGCATATTTGATGCAGAAAAAAAAAAGCATACTGGACTGCGTCTAGTGTGAACTAGCCCTTAGTGAAATACTGATCTTTCCCGATAACAAATTAGGTACTTCAAAATAGTCAGGACTTATCTGAGAGTGACACAAGGGTGGTAATACAAAAACAAAGCTTAACTTTACATTGTTGTATCTTTATTCATTGCATTGCTTACCTGAAATCTCCTGCTGTAAATTTGGCTTCAGCTAGTGAGAAAGCAGCTTCTCTCATAACCTCCCCCATCAGCATCTTAGTCTACAAGATAAATATATTTTTTTTAAATCAGAAATATTATTTATTAAAGGTTAAGGCATACAAAGTACAGCATATAGTACCATATATAAAACAGTACAAAGAATCAGCCATTAACAAAAAGAACAAAAGTACTAAAAGAAAATTTCCAGTGTCACCAGTTGTCCAATGAACAAATAAGTACAACAAGATTGTGGTGTTACTATGCAATAAAGGCATATGCGAAACCCCACACACACAAAGCAGCAAATGTCCCCCTCCAGCAGTGGCCCAGTGGAAAATAAAGTAGATAGGTCTCCCTACATGATAATCGAGGTGAACAACATAGCAGACAGAGCACACCATGAAAGGATAATTACAACAGCCTATGCACTATCAAATCAAGTGGGGCTAAACCTAGAGTGGCCAACCATGCTTCCCATAGTTTCTAAAATTTACCTGGGCACCCACGTAGTAAATTAAACGATCATATCGTAAGATGGTTCCCATATTCTGCCTCCAATCCTCCATAGTAGGGCGAGTTACCACTGTCGAATATATGTTTCAAATGAGTTATCCTATAGGATTTCCACTTAGAGGCATATTGTAGCTTGGCTAGTTCTGGTAATGCCGCATTATAACATATGAGACTATATGCGGTGTGACCTGTAACCTGTTGCAGCTGCTTGACCTTGACCCAAATTTTATGTATTAGTGATAGGTAGGGAAAGACTTCTTCATTTTACAAAAAGATTGAGCCTCCAAACTTTCCGGTAATGAACCAGAGGCCATACAATGTAACATCACTTGTAGCGTAGAATCATTAGCCGTGGCATTAGCGGTGTCTCCTTCCGCCATAGCTTTATACAGATGTTGCACCTGGCTAGCCAGATAATCCGACCAGGGATTGGGCAAAGCTACCCTTTCCTCTATCCTTAGGGTGCTGTAACTGTTCGTGGTGGGTGGTTTCCCCAAAGTAAGGAGCGAAAAATAGTGTTTATAAATCGAGAACGTTTTCAGCGGGATCATTACTGGCGAGTTATACAGTACAGCAATTGGGGCAAAAATAACCATGCCTGTTTATCAGACTCAGTCAGGTTATCTATATACGTACACTCCAATAGTTGTGCCTGCTGGGTAACCTGGGCCTCGTGCATCCTCTTCTTAGTTTTATTCACAGATATTTCTGAGACAAATACTCAAATATTCCCAGAGTAAAGGGTTGGCTTGAAGATCATTATGATGGAAGAAATCATCGATCTGCTGCGCTACCGTGTCATGGGAAGGGATCAAATTCAACCAAAAAGCATTCAGTTTCCATGGAACCTGAGGAAGAGCTGACCCAGGTTTAATAAGTAAATTGACCACTAATGGTGACTGATCAGATACACTTCTAGGGCTGTAATTGTTTTAATTAGGGAAACTGCTAATGAATTTCCAACACAAGTCTATGCGAGAAAGCGTGCTATGGGTTTTGGAGAAGCAGGAGAACTGACGGGAAGTGGGGTAACGCATACACCAGCAATTCGCCCAATCCTCTTCAGACAAGAAACGGCCAAGGGCAGTCCCTCTATCCCGGGAACCCGCTACAGCTGGGGGGTGCTTATCCAAAATGGGATGCAGATACCCATTAAAGTCGCTCAGCACAAACAGCGGCACATTAGGCTTATCAAGCAAAAACTCTACCAATTTTCTCAAGACATTAGTTGAAAAGGGTGGAGGTATATAAACTGCTAAAACACAGGTAATAGAGCAGGGTTGTGGACATTTTTTAAAAAAACTACTTGTCCAGGGACTAAATCGGGGCTCCAAACTACTTGTTCAGATAAAAAAAAAAAAGTTTTTTTTTTTTTTTTAACTAAAACTGTATTCAAATCAGAGGTGATTTTTGGAATGTCTTTTAAAAACAAAAAAGGGCTTTATGGCGACTTAAACGTGTAAAATTTTTAACATATCGCTGTTTATCTCCTTCTCCTCTCCCTGCCTGTCTCCGGCACCGCACCCACGGACTAGCAGGGAGGAGAGAGACCTTGCAGTGTAATCAGCACCGATTGGCTGCTCGTCAGGAAAGGGTGGGTCAGGGCTTATACTTTATCCCTTTTGCTGCCAGAGCCATTTTTGCACAAGTTTAAAAAAAATCAATCATTCTATGCCTGAAGATTACATAAAACCCCAAAACATTGTATAATTTCTGAAAGCAGAGACTCTAGTGGTAGTTCCAATTTTTATGTTATCATGATATTACCGCAAAATTTCAGTAAAAAATACAAGTTAATTTTAGGGCACAAAAAAAAAAAAAAAGCAATAAACTGCCTTGTTTTTTTGCAAAATATAAAAGATGAGGTTGCAGCGAATAAATAGATATCTTGTCAAACCTTAAATTTGCACGTGCTTGTGAAATGGCGACGAACTTCAGTACCCTATATTTTCTATAGGTTGACACTTTTAAAGCTCCTTATAGGTCACCAGTTTAGCGTAACGGAGTAGGTCTGGTGCTAGAATTATTGCTCTCATTCTGGCGTGCGCGGCGATATGTAACATGTGTATTGCAATCGACAGTTTCATGCGTAGGCACCCCAGCGTGTGCTTTTATGTTTGTACGTGCGTATATGTGGGGGCCTCAATATTTTTTTTTGGGGGGGGGGGGGGGGGGTCGGAGGGTATGTGCTTGGGTGTAACTTTAATTTTTTACAATTAAAAAAAAAAAAACTTTTTTTTACTTTTTTTGTTTTTTCATCACATAGGGAACAAAGTGAAGATTTTTGGTGACAGGTTCTCTTTGGGACATCCAAGGTCTACAAGACCCTGGAATGCCTCCCCTCTGCTCCACTGGGGATTGCACTGCAATCTCTCAAAGGGGACCCAGAAGTGACATCATAACATCACTTCCAGGTCAGCACAAGGGGAAGGGAGCGGACTTGTCCGCTCTTCTCCCTCCCCTCTAGCCGATGGCAAGCCGGGCCCACAGATGGGCAAGCGAAGCCCAGGAGACCTCACGGCGGGTACGCAGAGAGGCTGGCACTGCCGCCGACTGCTTCACCTGACAGGTGAGACCTGCTGCTTGCCTGTAGTAGGGCTAAAGGTAGAAAGAAACTACCTGCCTGGAGCCTGTAACTACATGTCCCGGGCGTCGAGTGATAAGGATCCAACATCCCTGTAGAGTATAGCTTACACAACAGGAATACAAATCTGTCTTTGGGATCAGTTTCACACACCAGCTCCTGGTAAGGTATGGCTTTATGTATCAGTATACACACCCCACGTGAATAGGCAGTGTGGGTGGAGTGATACACCCATCCTGCTCAGGAAAACCATGCCATAGACAGAGTGTCCCTTGTGAGAGGAGTCTCCTGTAGGCCACAGATAGCAGGCTGATGTTTATGTAGTACTGTAGATGCCATCATCTTCTTCAGCGGGTCATTGAGGCCTCTAATGTTCCATGAGATCACAGGAATGTCATCCATAAATTGAGTAGAAGTAGTAATGTTAAGGAGAAGCTCAGTATCAAAGGCTCCACTGGCCCCTCAAAACAGTCAGGAAGATCACGCTCTATATTACAGGGCACCGCACCGCTCACAAAAGAAAAAAGTAGTTAAGATGGCCAACACTGGAAAAAGGGTTTAAAGGTTCATTCTGAACAGTGGCATAATGGTGCCTAACAAAACAAGTCTAAAAAAACATTTTGTGAACTGAGTGTTCGCTTACTCACTGAGCCAAATAGCTGCCACCAAGGTGCGAGTGGATTGAATCACATATTGCTAACCACAATTCAAATACTAGTACTATACATGAGTAGAGCTCGGTATTGTGGCAGTTTACAAAAATAACTTCCCGATGAGGAATGAACAAGGCATATCAGGCATCCCAGATTATCAAAGAAGTTATGGCGGCCGGACTTAATCATCTGGAGTGCGTGGACCGCAGTTCAGCTTCATGCATGTCCTCCCAATCTGAGGCTGCAACAGCAGAATCAAAAAGGTGTGACTGATTATTGGCAATGATTTTCAGGCAAGCAGGGTACAGCATTGCATATGTCAGTTGTAGGGTTCAGAAGCAAACTTTAACTTCAAGAAATTCAGCTCGCTTATGCTGCACCTCCGCTGAGATGTCAGGGTAAAAGGAAACTTTAACCCCATTGAATTGAATGTTAGAGTGCTCCCTTATTGAATGTTAGAGTGCTCCCTTACCAGTCATAGTATGTTCTCTCTATCTTTGTAATTGAGAAGATGCGACAAAACTGGTTTGGGTGGTTGTCCAGCAGGCAAGGCCCAAGTAGGGGTACGATGTGCTCGTTCTACTGCAAACAGAGGAGTAAATGCTTCTGTGCTAAAAATCTTAATTAGCCAAGTTTCGATGAATTGTATGGGGTTACTTCCTTCAGTGAGTTCTGAAAGGCCTACAATATCTATGTTATTACTTCGCAGATGGTTTTCAGGATAATCCATTCTGACATTGCTAGTCTTTGCCAATTGTGCCATAGAGCGGGTATCAGAGAGCAATGGGGGAGGTTTATCTTCCAGGTCACTTATGCGACTCTCCGCAGCTGTGGTCCTTTATTATTTTTTGCATGTCATGTCTGAGAAAAGTTCACTCCTCCTCTTAAGCTCCCCCCACTTGCTCTTTCACAGAGTGAACCGATGCAGTGCAGTGCCGCACAGTCTTAAGGATATCCACTAAGGTTGACTGCTCTTGCTCAATGTGATCACAGTCCCTTTCTGTACATGCTCAGCCTGCATGTGCTCCTCTCCAAAGGCTGCAGCTGTAATGGAGTAGCAGGCCGGATAGGGGGAAAAAGGGTGGGGCTGCCTGATTGTCTGAGTCCAGGGACCCTGTGATCTTCTGGGTGTAAAAGCATGTCCCAGGAGCACTCCTTCCCCACAGGGCGGCTTGTCTTACCAGACTTTCCAGCAGCCTCCTTCATCTTATCACCTCCTCCTCTATGAGCACGTTGCGGCTGTGGAGGAGCGTCGCCATGTTGGAAGTCCGTGCCAGGCGATTCTTCCAGGTCATCACTGTAGGTAAAGGCTCACCCCAAGTATGTAGAGGTGCCCCGGAGCAGGATCACTCTGCAGAAGCAGGAGCCACAAAAATCTCACAGGAACAGGATCGGTGATAGGATCAGAAGCAGCTCTGTGAAGCACAGCCGTTCACATGCCCTGCTTGGCCACACCTCCACAACATAAATATTAACCGCTACACAGAAGATGTTTTGTTTAGTTTTCGATACAGTGGTGTGGCGATAGTAGAGATCCTTGCTCTCTTTCTGTCCTGGTGACCACTGTCATCTAAACCGAAGGAGATAGTAAGGGCCATTTCACACGGACTTTCCAACCATTTCCACCTGTCCATTTCTCAGGTGAACTTGATCGGAGGCTCCATGTGGATCTATGGGCAGGCTGATGTATAATGGACCCATGTCCATTTGCACCCACCTACCTCCGAATCCATTAAGGTTCTGAAAAATAAATACGAATTAAAAAAAAATTTTTTTCTAATATTATTAAAAACACACACACATTAACAACAGAAAAGGACCTAAACGTAACAGATCAGACGTAGCTTAATATAAACAGCCACTAGTCTGTTTACATCCAAAGGCCCATAGAACCAACATAGATTTGCTGGGTAAATGTGGACACACACTGAACAGGCAGATAAATGTTGAAAAACATTGACATTTGACCCATGCAGCTCCTGATGAATGGAATGGAGCAGCTCTGTGTGAAACATCCCTAAAATTAAAATGGAGTTATCACCAGAACATGGCGGAGGGATGACGTCACCACGTATACCACGGTACTGCAGGAACAGTTAAAGGGCAATAATGTTTAAGCCTACTACAGGACAATTTTATGGTACAGGTCATAGAAGCCCCTACTAGGAATGATGCTCTGCTGGACCTGGTAATCTCAAACCATGCAGAGCTTATTACGAATGTCCATATAATAACATCTGGGTAGCAGTGACCATAACATGATTCCATTTATTGTTAGCTGTAAACATCAAGCACATACAGGAAAATAAAACGCTCAACTTTAGGAGAGCTAATTTTCCAAGGCTGAGAATTGCTCTCCAAGACTTGGACTGGGAGGGAATATTGGCATCGATGAACACAACACAGAAATGGGAGTTCTTCAAAAAGACTGTATGTGAACACACTGAAAAATATATTCCCATTGGCAACAAGTTTAAAAGGCTAAAAATCAAACCTATGTGGCTTACGGCCAAAGTTAAAAAAGCTATAGATAATAAGAAAAGAGCTTTTATTAAATATAAAAATGAAGGAACGCTAACATCATTTAAACATTACAAAGAATATAACAGAATATGCAAAAAGGAAATAAAGGCTGCAAAAAATGAACAACAGATTGCAAAAGATAGCAGGACCAACCCCAAAAAATTCTTCAAATATATAAATAGTAAAAAGGTCTGATCCGAGCATGTAGGCCCTTTACAAAATAATCTAGAGTGGGTGACTGGGGACAAAGAGAAGGCAAATTTTATTTAATACCTTCTTCAGCTCTGTGTATACAAAAGGAGTATGAGGGAGCTCTTCTCCATAATGGGCATGGTATTGACACAGCTCCAGATGGTCCACATTGGCTCACAATTGATATGATCCAAAAAAATGTAGACAGTATAAAAGGTGAATAAAAGCACCTGGACTGGATGGGTCCTTAAAGAATTGAGCTCTGTCATTTCAAAGCCAATGTTTCTAATTTTTAGGGACTCTTTAATGACTGGCATAGTACCATTGGATTGGTGTAAAGCCAATGTTTAAAAAGGGGTCAAAATCTTTATCAAGTAATTATAGACCTGTTAGTTTAACTTCTATAGTTGGGAAGATACAGGAGAGTTTAATAAAAGACCACATAGATGAGTTCTTGCTGGAAAAAAAATATTTTAAGCAACAGACAGCATGGATTCATGAAAGACAGAAGTTGTCAAACAAATCTGATTTCTTTTATGAGGAGGTGAGCAAAACCTTGGACAGTGGTGGTGGACGTGGTATACTTGGATTTTGCAAAAGCGTTTGACACAGTTCCCCACACATGGCTAATGTGTAAGGTAAAGTCTACAGGATGGAAAAATCTCTATGTAAATGGATAGAAAACTGGCTAAAAGATCGTATTCAAAGAGTAGTGGTTAATGATTCATACTCTGAATGGTCTAGGGTTGTCAGTGGTGTACCCCAAGGTTCACTGTTGAGATCCTTACTGTTTTATAAATTTCTAAATGATATAGGGTCTGGGATTATAAATACCAATTCAGTCTTTGCAGATGACACCAAGCTGTGCAGTAATATAACGTCCTTACAGGATGTCTTCAACTTACAAGCCGACCTCAATGCACTGTTTAATTGGGCAACTATGTGGCAAATGGGGTTTAATGTTGATAAATGTAAGATTATGCACTTGGGGGTTAAAAATCATACATACGGGGGGAGGGGGGGGGGGGGGGTACAATTGGGGGAATCAATGGTGGAGAAGGATCTGGGAATTCTGGTAGATCACAAGCTTAATAATGGCATGCAATGCCAAGCTGCGGTTTCTAAAGTGAGCAAAATCCTCTCTTGTATTTAAAGAGGTATAGACTCCAGAGAGAGATATCATATTACCCCGGTACAAATCATTAGTAAGACCTCATCTGGAATAAGCACTTCAGTTTTGGGCACCAATTCACAAAAAGAACATTGGGGAACAGTAGAAAGTACAGAGAAGGTCAACCCAACGGATACGAGGCATGGAGGAGCTCAGCTATGAGGAAAGATTAGAGGAACTGAATTTATTCTCTCTTGAGAAGAGGAGATTAAGGGGGGGATATGATCAACATGTATAAATACATCAGTGGTTTATATATTGAACTCCGTGTAGTTATTCACCCTGAGGTCATCACAGAGGACAAGGGGGCACTCTTTACGTCTGGAGGAAAAGAAATTTAATCTCCAAACACGGAAAGGTTTCTTCAGAGTGAGAGCTGTGAAAATGTGTAATAGACTCCCTCAAGAGTTGGTTCTGGCCAGCTCAGTGGATTGCTTCAAAAAAGGTTTGGATTCTTTCTTAGATACACAGAATATAACTGGATACTAACATTTATAGGTAAAGTTGATCCAGGGAATATCCGATTGCCTCTCGAGGGATCAGGAAGGAAATTTTTTTCTCAGCAGGAGCAAATTGGATGATGCTTTGATGGTTTTTTTTTGCCTTCCTCTGGACCAACTGTGGGTATAGGATTATAACTTTTTTTTATTTTTAATGGGTAAACTGGATGGACTTTTGTCTTTTTTTCAGCCAGACTAACTGTGTAACTATGTGACTCTTTTTAGATGTAAAAGAGTCTATTTGCTCTGATAAGAGTCTTTTTACACTCAAGGTGGTAGCACACTCTTGGCGTTTGGAGTAACGTTCTTGTGAAATAAGATTCAGCACAGCATTACTGCTTTGAACTATTTTCAAGCTCGGACTGGGCTATTATTTTCTCCCTTGCTTTTTTCTTTTTATCATTTATTTTTTATATTTTGGATTCAATATTTGCACTTTTAATCTCGGAGTATTATAATGTGTGTAACTTAATTATCTGATTTACATCACCAGAACATGAATGAGGAAAAAAACTTCTAATTGGCACTCCTGAAGGCCTTTACCTTACTTTTGAGAGATTTTATTTCACTGTTGTGTCTATGGGACATGAATGTAGGCATATACCTGGTAAAATGCTGTCAGCAGAACAGGAAGAGGAAATATTTATAACAGATATAACAGCCTCGGATAGCAGCAACAACCTTAAAGGGATTCTAAAAATGTATGCACTATCCAAAAATTAAAAAAATAAAAATATTTGGTTTGACATACACTTTAACCTAGCAAATACAGTGGATATAAAAAGTCTACACACCCCTGTTAAAAGGTCCGCTTTCTGTGACGTAAAAAAATTAGACAAAAGACAAATAAATAATTTCAGAACTTTTTCTGCCTTTAGCCTGGGTTCACACTGATGCGGTGTGGAATTTGCAGTGGTTTCTGTGTGAATTCTGCAACGCATCACAATCACACCCCGTTCATGCGAAGCACTGCGAAGCACTGCGGGTGTGTATGTAAACAACACCCTGAAATCGGTCCACAAAACGTGGTACGATGTGCAGAATCGGATCGCATAGGTGTCAATATCCATGCAATCCGATTCTAGTGCAGACCAAAAAAGGGTCCAGCACCTTACTGGTGTGGATGTAGTGTGATTTGAACAATACAAAATGTATGGCTCAAATCGCACCACACAGAATTCGCATGTGATTTGCACAGGGATGCCGTGCAGTACCTGTACGAATCACATGTGATATGCCGCACCGGACAAGTGTGAACCCAGCCTTAACGTAACCTATAAACTGTACAACTCAGTTGAACAACAAACTGAAATCTTTTAGGTGGAGGGAAGTAAAAATAAAAAATTAAAATATGGTGAAGTGTGCACACCCTTAAACTAATACTTTGTTGAAGCATCTTTTGATTTTATTACAGCACTCAGTCTTTTTGGGTATGAGTCTACCAGCATGGCACGTCTTGACTATGCAATATTTTCCCACTCTAAGGAAGAGAGCAAGGAGCAAAAACACTCCAAATCTGTCAGAGGGCATCTCCTGTACACACCCCTCTTCAGATCACCCCCCAGGTGTGTAGATTTTTTATATCCACTGCATGTTACATTTTTATAGAGATCGTTAGTGGGCAAACTGTGCAAATAAATGTAGAAACTATTTTTTTTTCTTCTGTAAACTGTACCTCAATAATTTTTTTAAGGATCTGCCGAAAGCGCATGGTTAAGGCATCAGACTTTTTCTTAAGAAGGTTGCGTCCTGTCTGGGCACCTTTCAAACGAGCTTTCATGATGGTCTGGGCCCTTAGGATAGAATACAAATAAGGGTTATTACTGACAATAAACAAGACTGTGTTAGAAAATGAACATACACTGGGGAAAATAATTAATTTGATCCCCTGCAGATTTTGTAAGTTTGCCCACTTACAAAGAAATGAAGGGTGTATAATTTTTATCATAGGTGTATTTTAAAAGATAAAGACAGAATATCAACCAAAAATCCAGAAAAAACACATGATACAAATGTTATAAACTGAGGTGCAGTTCAGTTAGTAACATTAGTATTTCATCCGCAAGTAAAACACGACTTAGTACTTGGTGGAGAAATCCTTTTTGGCAAGCACAGAGGTAAGACATTTCTTGTAGTTGGTTACCAAGTTTGCACACATCTCAGGAGGGCTTTTGGTTTGCTTTTTTCTCTAAATCTTTAAAGTGATTCTAAAGGTTAATTTTTTTTTTTGTGTAAAATAACAAAACATGTTATACTTGCCTACTGTGCGCAGCGGTCAGCAAAGCAGCCTGGCTCCTCCTCTTCTCTGGTCCCCCGCAGGCTCTCCTGGCTCCTCCTGTCTGTCAGGTGCCCCGACAGTAAGCATCTTGCTATGGTGGCACCTGCTACGCCATGTGTCCATTGACACATGGAGCCATGGCTTGGCCCCACCCCCTCTCTCTCCTTATTGGCTGACTGGTTGTGATTGACAGTAGTCTCAGCCAACGAGGAGGCAGAGACACGGCACAGCCAAGGCTGTTATTCACATCGCTGGATTACGATGAGGCTCAGGTAAGTATTAAGGGGGCTGGGGGAGGTGCTGCACACAGGTTTTTTACCTTCATGCATAGAATGCATGAAGGTAAAAAACCTTCAGCCTTTACAACCACTTTAAGGTTTCTTGGCTATCGCTTGGCAACTTCAAGTTTCAGCTCCCTCCATAAATTTTCTATAGAATTAAATTCTGGAGACTGGCTAGACCACTCCACAACCTTAACGTGCTTCTTCTTGAGCTACTCCTTTGTTGCCTTGGTGGTATGTTTTGGGTCATTGTCATGCTGGAAGACCCATCCATGACCCATCTCCAGTGTTCTGGCTGAGAGAAGAAGGTTCCCATCCAAGATTTTACAATACATGGCCCCATTCATTTTCCCCTCAATGCGGCAAAGTTGGCCTGTACCTTTAGCAGAGAAACAGCCCCAAAGCTTAAGGTTTACACCTCTGTACTTAACTGTAGGGGTGGTGTTGTCAGGGTCACAGTCAGCATTTTTCTTCCTCCAAACACGACGAGTCGAGTCAATGCCAAAGAGCTCAATTTTTGCTCATTTAGATGTTCATTGGCAAACTTCAGACAGCCTTGTACATGTGCCTTCTTGAGGAAGGTGACTTTGTGGGCACTGCAGGATTTCAATCCATGGCGGCATATTGTGTTACCAATGGTTTGTTTGATGACTGTGGTCCCAACTGCCTTGAGATCATTCACAAGCTCCTCCTGTGTAGATCCCTCATGATCACCTCCTTTTCTCATGATCATCCTTACCCTATGAGGCGAAATCTTGCATGGAGCTCCAGACTGAGGGCAATTGATGGTTATTTTGTATTTCTTCCGTTTTTTAATAATTGCTCCAACGTTTGTCTCCTTCTCACCAAGCTTCTTGCTGATAGTCTTGTAGCCTATTCCAACCTTGTGCAGTTCTACAATCTTGTCCCTGATGTCCTTTGACAGCTCTCTGGTCTTGCCCATGGTTTGAATGGAAAAAAAAAGATTCTGTGGACAGGTGTCTTTTACACACATAATGAGTTGTCATTAGGAGCACCTTTTTAAATTGACAGGACTAACCTGTTTACCACATAAGCACATAGCCAGTCTGTGGAAGCCAGAATTATTGTTGGTTAGTAGGGGATCAAATACTATTTTTACTCATTGAACTGTAACTAAATTTATAACATTTGTATTGTGTTTTTCTCTGGATTTTTGGTTGATATTCTGTCTCTATCATTTAAAATACATCTATGGATAAAAATGATAGACCCTTCATTCCTTTGTAAGTGGGCAGACTTTCAAAATCAGCAGGGGATCAAATAATTATTTCTTCCACTGTACAGTGTCAATGATATTGGGTTAAACATAAATTCAGCATTTTTGCTGTTCCCTTTATCATCAAACAATAAAAACACTATAAAGCAGTGAATGTGACCTTTACAAATCATTCACTGATGGCAAAATCACTGTCATTTAAACTAAATGCACCAGGAAGATTCACTTGAAGTAAGGGCCAGTTCACACTACAAAAACACACTCCGGATGCATACTGGATACCTTTTTGCTTACAGTTCACACCACGCGCAGTTCTGGTGCAGTTTGCGATGTTCCAGTATGGTTCTGTGCAGAAAAAATGCAGCATGTTTAACCACTTGCCCTCCAGAGGATTTACCCCCCTTCCTGACCAGGCCATTTTTTGTGTTATCGCACTGCATTACTTAAATGGACAATATCACGGTCATGCAACGCTGCACCCAAATGAAATTTACAACTTTTTTTCCCCACCAATAGAGATTTTTCTGTGGCATTTGATCGCCTGTGCTCTTTTTATTTTGAGCGCTATAAAAAAAAAAAAAAAAAAAAACAATTTTGAGAAAAAAAAAAAATAATAATTTTGACGTTTTGCTATTAAACATGTCCAGTAAAAATTAAAAAAAATTAAATTTAGTCTTAAATGTATTCTGCTACATGTCTTTGCGTGAAAAAAAAAAATCTCAATACGTGTAAATTAATTGGTTTACATGAAAGTTATAGCGTTTGCAAACAGCGGGATATATACTGGGCTTTTTTTTTTTACATTTTTTTCTAGTAATGGCGGCGATCAGCGACTTATAGCGGGACTGCGGTGGACATTCTGACACTGGAAACTGACTTGGTGTCACTGACATCCCCAGTGACACCAATACATGATCAGTGCTAATAAAAAGCACTGACATTGTACTAATGGCACTAGGCATGTGGGGCGATCAAAGGGTTAACTGTGTGCTGTTTTACTGTGTGCTTCACTGTAAGCACACTTTTTTGCATGGCTTTGCAGAGCCATGCAAAGCAGTGTGCAGGAGCTGACAGGGGAGAGAACTGTAATGTTTACAAACAGTTCATTCCCCTGTCAGAGATGCTCGGAAATCACCGGGCACCAGCGAGTAATCACTGGCCGAGACCCGGTGATTGACAGCCACGAATGGTGGCGTGGGTAGGGCGCGCATTCCCTACCCTGAAATGCAAAATCACGTATATAATGTGATTTTGCACACAGCTGCCGCCCTGTAGCAGTATATCTGCTATGAGGTGGTGCTAAAGCAGTTAATTTTTTTTCCTGCGTTGGAAACAGACTGGAACTGACTGCACTAGGGTGAACCAGGGCCACTGGAATACATGGAAAACACTGCATGCATTTTTCATGCAGAAAAAAGTGCACTGAACTGCATCTAGTATAAACTAGCCCTAAGGGCCAGTTCACACTACAAAAATGCACTAGGGATGTATTCAGGATACGTTTTTGCTTACAGTTCACACCACACGCAGTTCCGATGCAGTTTCAATGCAGTGTACTATGTTCCAGTATGGCTCCCTGCAGAAAAAATGCAGCATGTTCCACTTGTTTTTTCTGCTCCGGAAACTGACTGGAACTGGCTTCACTAGCGTGAACCAGGGCCACTGGAATACATGGAGAACACTGTGCATGCATTGAACTGCATCTAGCCGGTTCACACTTCAGAAATGTAGTCCAGATGCATTTTGACACGTTCCAGTGCGTTTTTACGCATTCCAATTCATTTTTTACCCTCTTGTTTTATTCAATTTAAATAGGAACATGTGCATTCCAGCGCATTTTTCCACATTACAGTACAGTTCTTTGCAGGAAAAAATGCAGCATGATGTACTTTTTTATTCTTCAACTAGAACACACTGGAACTGCAAGCACTGATGTGAACTATGACATTGACAACCATATAACCTACTTATTGTGCGTTTTGGATACATAAAAAAAAGCAACTGAAACGCATGTAGTGTGAACTGGCCCTAAATGTTTGGTGAAAATCTGCTACAGGCAGGTAAGCAGCTAATCAATTAGCTGTGCTGGAGGGCAGGGGAGATAAAAAAAATAAAAAGTATACAGAAAAGTATAAAGAAGAAACATTTTAAAATAAATAAAAATATTTTTAAACAATATTGCATACACACAGATGCAAATGCATGAGTAGGTTCTGCTTCACATGTACGTAAACACTGACTGCACCACACATGTGAGGTATTGCCACGAATGTCAAGCATCACCATGAACTTGAGCAAGATCAATAACACTGTTCAACAAATTTTTATTTTTTGCCAGTTTTGGAAACAAAAGGATCCATTTCTTAATGAATTTCACATTCTGAGTTCAAATATAACAATGAAATTTGTCAATTGGCTCTAGTTTTTCTGTAAACGGAAAGTTTTCTACTATAGGCGTAATGACTACATAATGCACAATAATTATATAGATAGATGTCTTTTCACAAATATAAAGCAAGTGATATTGACTACATAACAAAGCCTAAATGACATAATATATTGCATAGGATTACCAAGAAAAATTATAGCCATAAGCTAAGTTGAATCATTTTAATACTTAGGATTCTCACTAGTTTTGTCTTCAGTTTGTGTCGGTTTTGCTTCTCTTGGCTTTTCTCTTGTATTCAAGGAAAGGGCTATCTCTTACAACTGCACGTGACTACACGCTTCAGGTTCTTCCTCACTTGACTCAACCATGAAGGATTCTGGTTCTTTAGGAATTGGTAGCCCCACTCCATGAGGAACTGGACGTATTGCCGATGGAATATTTGGATAGTGCACAGATAACTTTTTCTTCTTATTTAGCCCTTTTACAATTGGAGGCACCATACAAAAGTAACAATTACTAACATGATCTGTTGGCTCTCTCCAAATCATTGGCACAGCGAAAGGCATAGATGCCTTTTTTCCATTCAACCATTGCTCCAGTGCCATCCCACAAGAATTGCAGCAT